AAAAATTTTAGTATCCTCTCTCGGGTTACTTCGCCACTATCCTTGCGTCCTTTGACACGGGCATACCATGAGAAGGTTGGTTGATCTTGAACATTTAACGTCATTTTTCTCAGTTTGTAATACTGTACTTACAAATATAAATAAAGGTTATTGATCATTATGAACGTCCTCGTAATGTTGGTTCATTACCGCGAAACGATATCGACGTCGGAACTGGTTTAGTTGGAGCCCCTGCTTGTGGGGATGTCATGAAACTTCAAATTAGAGTTGACGAACAATCTGGTAAAATAGTAGACGTTAAATTCAAAACATTTGGATGTGGTTCTGCCATTGCTTCATCAAGTTATATGACCGAAAGAGTGCGTGGTATGTCTTTGGAAGAAGCGAGTAAAATCAGAAACACTGAAATTGCGAAGGAATTATGTTTGCCACCAGTGAAGCTTCATTGTTCAAGTATGTTATTATTTACTATTGTAACTAGCATATGTTGAATGATTTCTAATCATGTTTACAATTCCAACAGTGCTTGCTGAAGATGCTATCAAATCCGCAATTAAGGATTACAAATCTAAACGGGCAATGTTATCAACGCATGGTTCAACTCAACATAATACTGCGCAAACAGAAGTTAGATCGTAAATTCCAGGTGTAATCCAATCGTCCTAGCTGGAGGTATATAAGGAGTCACTTCTGTTAAATTGGATAAGCAAAAACATAAATCGTTAAGATTAGCCATCGATATTTTGTATATACATATAATTCCCCCCAAGAGAGATGATAATTTCATTACCCCAATGTTGATTCATGGATTGTCCTTCACGAGACATAACTTATGAACACAATTATTTTAGTTAAAAAAAAATATGCTAAGTATTGGAATAGATTTTCAAATACATTATGATAATTCACCTTTTAGCTTTAAAGGGAATGTAAATTTATAACAATTCACGATAGCTAATTATTAGTTAGGTTAGGATTGCCTATTCTAAAACGTTGTAACTGGAAAAATGGTTTAAAC